AGAAAGGTACTCGCGTAATCCAATGAGATATATCTTGATTTTAATATTTTATTTTATTCTTTATCTCATTCAATGTTATAATATGGTCTTATGTGATTTTGAGAAAACGATGATATCTTTATTTTTGAATAAAATATAAATTTGAAAATATCATAAAATTTTGACAAAAATTTATCGATATTAGTATCAAATTAACTATTTAAATCTTTTTATTTTTTGTGTAATTTTTTAATTCAAATTTTTTATTATAATTTATTTTAGATATAATAACAAAGTAATTTACATTTGATTTAATAATATAATTTTTTTATAAAGATAATAATTAATTATTTTGTTAGAACTCGATAATTTTCCTAATTATATTTTTAAAATAAGATGTTTATTCTCTATTTGATTATGTTTATCCGCATTTAATTATACAAATTCAAACATCGAGCTTTAATAAGTTGTATTTATGCATAATTTACTTGTAATCTTGAATTTTAAATAATATGCATCAATATACAGTACTTTATACATAAAAATAATTTTTAAAAGTTTTTATCAAATTTTTCATAACATAATATAAATACTTGATGTTGAAAAACAAATGAGACAAAAAAACATGTTGGCCGGACAATAACTTTTTAAATTTTATAAATAATTAATATATTAAATTACTTAATAATATATTTTTTACTTATTTAATCCATTAATAATAAATTTAACAAAAAACCGATCAATTCATATATGAATTGATGATAAAAAAAACATGTGCAATTTTTATATATCAATTTAATATATTTTACGTTATATTAAATAAATATGTGTTGAGGGTTGAGTTAGTGAGCGTGCATGCAAATGGAATGTGAGAGGCAGAACGTGAATAAATTAAATAAAAATAAAAAGATAATGACACCTCATAAAATCCCAAATTATTTATATAAATACTAAAATGATATTTATGCAATGTAACGAGATATATTTTGATTTTAATGTTCTATTTTATTCTTTGTCTTTATCGATGTTATAATACGATTTTATGTGTTTTTAAAAAAGCAATAATGATTTTATTTTTGAATAAAATATAAATATGATGATATCATAAAAATTTAAAAAAGAATATACATCGATGTTAATATCAAATCAACTAATTAAAAATTCTCGTTTTTATGTAATTTATTTTTTTATTATAATTTAATTTAAGTTTAATAATGAAATAACTTATTTTTGGTTTAATAATATAACATTTTATAAAGATAATAGTTAACTATTTTGTTAGAACTCAATGATTATCCTAATTATATTTTAGATTTTTTATATTTAAAATAAGATATTTATCTTGTATTTGATTATGTTTATCTGCAGTTAGTTACACAAATTCAGATATGAAGCTTTAATAGGTTGTACTTACGCACAATCTACTTGTAATCTTGAGTTTTAAGTAATATGCATTAATAAACAGTAGTTTACGTATAAAAAGTAGTTTTTAAGAGTTTTTGTCAAATGCTTTATAATATAGTATAGATATAAATCGCAATTAATTAATTATTTATTTATGAAAAAAATATAAATGGATCGGACAATAAACGGGGATGTTGAAGTTTAAAAGTAGAATTAATAAGACTGTTTGTTTTTGTAAATTGATAGATGTTTTAATCTGTATAATTATCTATTTAACCCTTCAAGATATTATTAATGTTGAATTTATATAAATTTATACGATTTTAAGGTTAATCAATTGAGAGATGAATTATTGAGAAACGTTTGTTGTTGAAGGTATGGAGAACAATAAAAGGCAAATAGGCGTTGACTTACCTTTTATCAGATAAGAGGACAGTATGACCTTACCTCGTACTGATCAAACATAATTTAGAGAACTTTTTGAAATAATTGCTTATGAGATGAAAATAATTTTTTTAATTAACCTGGAAATCCAACCCGCTATGCAAGTTGAATAATATCAGGGCGATCACCTACTTCGCAGGTAACCCGGAGTCACCGTATTTGAACATCCATGATCACAAGAGAATTTTTATTTCTTATAGGATTCAAATTTGAGACCTCCATACATTTTTAACTTTTGGAATCAAGCTTAAACCAATTGGACACTATATTTGTAGTTAATATTTCTTTTTATTTATTTCCATTTATTAAAATCTTTAAACTTAAATATATGAAAGATAAATAATATATACTATATTATAAAATATTTGACAAAAACTCTTAAAAACCATTTTTTATGCATAAAGTATTGGTTGTTGATGCATATTACTTAAAATTTAAGATTACAAGTAATCTTGCGTAAGTACAAGTTATTAAAGTTCCATTTTTAAATTCGTGTAACTAACTGCAGATAAATATAACTAAATACAAGATAAACATCAATTTTAAAATATATAAATTTTAAAATATAATCAAGATAATATTCGACTCTAACAGAATGTTTAATTATTATCTTTAAAAATATATATATTATTAAACTAAAAATAAATTACTTTATTATTAAATTTAAATTAAATTATAATAAAAATTGAAGTAAATAAGTTACACAAAAAACGAGAAATATTTAATAATTAATTTAATACTAATATCGATTTTTTTTCAAATCTTTATGTTATATTCAAATTTATATTTCATTCAAAAATAAAAATATTACCGTTTTCTTAAAACCATCTAAAATCGTATTATATCGATAAAGACATAATAAGAACTAAACATTAAAATGAATATATATATATCGTTGCATTGCACGAGTACCTTTCTAGTTTTATTAAATATATAGAAACATATTATAATTGAGTAACTCTTAAAAATTTAATATTTTTTATTTTAATTTTCTAATTTAGAAATTTTGGAAAAATAAAAAACATGTTCTTACCAAACACTTTTTTTGGGGCTATTTAAATTATAGTGGGGCTCCCACTCGGACTCCAATAATGTGTCACGGGCTCACGGCCCATAATTTTTATTTGGTGGTTGGTTTTAAAAATACTGAAAACAATCATAAACAGTTGTTTTGTTATATTTTGTCCTGTCTTGTTTGAATATTAAATGCACCTTGAATCAGCATAATAAGACTTACAACTTAGTCAGTTGGTTATAATAACTATTTGGTAATGGCTTAATGATATAGAAAGTGACTTATTCAATAAGACTAGAAAGGTACTCGTGCAATGCAACAAGATATATCTTGATTTTAATGTTTCATTTTATTCATTTTTTGTCGATATAATACGGTTTTATGTGGTTTTAGAAAACTAAAATATTTTTTATTTTTGAATGAAATATAAATTTGAAAACTAAATTAACTATTTAAATGTTCTCGTTTTTCATGTAATTTTTTTAATTCAATTTTTTTATTATAATTTAATTTAGATTTAATAACAATGTAATTTATTTTTGTTTGATAATGTAATTTTTATAAGAATTATAATTAAGTATTATGTTAGAACTCAATGATTATTCTAACTATATTTTATTTTTTTATATTTAAAATAAGGTGTTTATTTTGTATTTGATTACGTTTATTTGCAGTTAGTTACACGAATTCAAAAATAAATTTTTAATAAGTTGTACTTGCGCACAATTTACTTGTAATATTAAATTTTAAGTAATATGCATAAATAATTCATGTATAAAAAATTATTTTTAAAAGTGTGATTTACAAAGGGCAAATTGCATGAAACTTAACGCACTTTAACTTTTTTTTTTTTAAATTAGTCTTTTTTAATTTAAAATTAGTCTTCAACTGGTTACCTACGTACTTAAATGTTTAAAATTTTACATCTTATGTACCAAAATAGAAGTTTTAAAAGTACATAACTCAAAATAGGAATCAAGTTATAGTACGTAGCTTTTTCATGCAATTTGCTCATTTACAAATGAAAAACTACCTCTATCTAGATATGTATCGATCTTTCTGAAATATGCTTGTTCGTTTCTTAAAGGCTCATCTATTCTCTTGATTTATCCGAAATGTTCCAAGTTTCCTTAGAACCTTCTAGCAATACATAACACTGATATGAAAAGAAATTATATGAAATAACACATGATGCACCGGTTCTCAAAATTATCACAAGCTTATGGGTTCTTAAATAAAAAACCTCCGCCCAACAGATATGTAAGTAAAGGTATAAGTAGGGCAATAAACGAACCGAACGAACATGAACAAGATGAACACGAACATAGGCTTGTTCATGTTCGTTCGTTTAACTTAACCGAACAAAAGAATAAACATGAACAGTAAATGAACGAAAAATCTTTGTGTTCGTGTTCGTTCGTTTAGAAATTAAGTGTGTCCGTGTTCGTTTGTTAACATGCTAAACGAACGAACATGAACGAACGGTCTAAATGAACATAAACGAACAGGTCTAAATGAATATAAACAAACGAACACCACTACTTGTCATTCAATTAACTATTACACACCAATTATCCATAATTTAAACATACATAAAACAATTACCATTCATCAACCATCATCATTTGACAAAAGTGAAAAGGTAAAAATTTCAAATAAGACAAAATGATGATAAAATTTAAATCTAAATAAATTATAAAAAGTTAAAACTTAAATAAATATTATTGAATTCAAACTAAATAAATAAAAGATTATATATTAAATTTAATATATAAACGAACGTTCACAAACATAAATGAACGAACGAGACTCTTGTTCATGTTCATTCGTTTGATTAAACGAACAAAAAAAAAATTGTTCATGTATTAAATAAACGAATATTCCACAGAACAATTTACGTACGGTTCGTTTACAGCTCTAAGTATAAGACAGTGGCCAAATTATAAAACAAAAAAGTGTAGGGGGTAAAAATTGTAAAACAAAAAATATGTGGTTTTGGAAGCTTTTCTCTTAATATCAGAGCCAGGTTTCGATCCTGGGACCTGTGGGTTATGGGCCCACCACGCTTCCGCTGCGCCACTCTGATTTGATGATTACATTTCATTAATGATTCTTATATTCACTGTTTAGTAGCATATATATGTATCACACTATATATAATCCACTCTGTGACGATAAGAGATTTCCTTTGGTTCTTGATAGTTGATACAACGAAGAAGAACGACAACAATGGCGACAATTTCATGTAGTGTTCAATTCATCTTCGCTAATCAAGACACAAAACCCATGAACAATTTGGCCCCAATTCTGTGTAAACTCGAATCGCAGTTCGTGGGTGTGCGTAAAAGGCTCGGATTTTGCAGACCAACTTCAAGGATTGGGCCTAGTAGTTGTGGGTCAAGAATCACATGTTGGTTCAAGTTCGGTAAAAATGGCGTCGATGCTGAAGGTGCTGGGATTTACGGCAGCCAATCTCGCGACGATTTCGATCGTGATGATGTCGAGCAGGTAAACCCTTTTTTGATTATTTGGTTTTCTGTTGAATTTATGCATCTTTTTCTGGTATTCTTGATGATTTTGATTTGTTAGTCGGTTTTAGAAATCAGAAAATCAAGGTTTAGGGTTCATAGCCAATTGGATTATCATTTGGGGACTAATTTTCATCAAATTTGGTGTAAAATGAAGAAAAATTGCTACATGATAAATCAGTTGTAGGTTGTTGCATCTTTTTATGGAGTTTTCAAGAACCATTTTCAGATTATGATACTGATTATGGATAGTGATCAGTGTATATACTTGAGTTATTCATGATGAATATGAGCAATTAGCATAAAAGATCCTTACAAATCAATATCTTTCACTTGTTGTTGGTGGGTTCTTGTAGATGAACATTGATTAACTTCAAGGATCAAGAAAATCACAATATTTTCGTTGTGAATGTGGCTTTTTACTCCATTTTATGCAGTATTCATAATGAATGCTAGCAATTAACATGAAAAGATCTTTACAACCAATAATCATTCACTTGTTCTTGGTGGGTTCTTTGAGATGGACATTGATTAACTTAAAAGAATCAAGAAAATCACAAGATTTTCATCACGATGAATGTGACTTTTGACTCGATTTTTATGTGTTATAGTAATTAACATGAAAAGATCTTTACAAACCAATATCATTCACTTGTTCTTGGTGGATAAAATATATAGATGAACGTTGATTAACTTCAAGAATCAAGAAAATCCCTAGCAGGGTCGTTCTGTAGCATGTTACATATGGGATCTTGAACGGTGCACACAAAGTTTTCGGGCACACTTTTGCAGCTTTACAAGTGTTTAGGGCATTTTATCAACCGTTGATGTTTTTTGTGTGTAGGTGTCTATTTGTTAGTATCTTAATGAGCTTAATGAGACTCTCAGCTTATTTGATCAACTATACATGGTTGTTTAGTAGTGGTTTAATGATATAGAAAGTGACTTATTCAGTAAGCTTACAAGGGGAGCTTTATGCAGAAAAGCAAGTTTTTTTCCAAATATGTCTCTTCCAATTAAAAAACACACTCCTTCTATCTATGAAAAACCTGCTCAATCTATAAAGACAAATTAATCCATGCAAGACTTAATGGGAAACCAACCAAATAGCTCCTAAATTAGGTTCAAATAATGATATTGTAAATTGTTTAGCTTTATCCCTTTTCTATGCTCAACCTATATGTAGCTTTGATCTCATTTTACTGTGTAATCAAAAGTTTCCGGTGTAACAGGGCATTCAAAAAGACTGGAACATCCTGATCCCTAGATTTTCATGTTTTTTTACTCGATTTTATGTAGTACTTCAATTATATGGGAATGCTTGCCGTTGAGGGTACATACGATAAGATGGAGGCGCTTTTATGCCAAAACATTCATCCCGTCGACATTTTGTTGATGTTGGCCGCCTCCGAAGGAGACAAGCCGAAAATAGAGGAGTTGCTAAAAGCCGGAGCCATGTATAATGTGAAAGACGTTGATGGAAAGACGGCGCTCGATAAGGTGGCAAACGAAGAAATCAAGAACTTCATTTTAAGTTATTCCACTCAAAAGGCATGATTTGATCTTTAATACCCCTAAATGTTGTTGTGTTTTAAGTTCTTTGTTTTTGTGAGATTAGATTTAAAATATGTAGTAATTGTGTAGATGGGAAGACAACATTGTTTTTGCTTTCCTTGATTTTGTTCCCATTTGTTAATATTTTTGCATCTATGCATTTTCTGCTTCCTCACACTTTTCACTAGTTGGGGTCTTGACGAAACAACGCTCCACTCTTTTGAGTAGAGATCAGGTTTGCCTACATTAGTACCCTCCCAAAATCCACCTTTATGTGGGATTAAAGATGCATAAGGCCCGGGTGCCCTTTTTCAGTGAGCAAAGATTAAAGCCCAGGGGTTTTTAAGTCCGCGTCGGATCAGGCTGTGCTTTGAGGTTGAACAAGGACCCGATTAGTTTCTTTAGGTCAAGGTTTTTGGAGTTTTTGGGCTTTTTCAGGCTTAACCGGGCTTTTTAAAGTCACCAATTGTTAGGCTGGGCCTGCCTCCAAAATTTTGACATGATTGGGCTTTGAGGTCCGGCCTGAACTGCGATTCTGTCTTGGGTTTTTTGTGCATATCTAAGCAGGGCAACATATTGTGCCCGTTTAATTTGTGTGTACTGTTCTATTGTTCGGTTTTCACAGAAACAATTGTTCTCTTCTTTTAAGTAGATGTCAAGTCTACATACATCTTTTAGTTGTTAATTTTTTTTTGATTAACCTGGATATCCAACCCGCTATGCGAGCCGACTAATTCCAAGGGAACCACCTGCTTTGCAGATAGCACGGAGTTACCGCATTTGAACTTCCGTGACCATAAGAGGATTTTTATTTCTAATTAGATTTAAACCTAGGACCTCTTGATGCTTTTGACCTTTGGAACCAAACTCAAATCAATGAAGCTACACCTTTGTGGTTTTGTTGTTGTTGTTGTTAAATTTTTAATGAACAAATTAAAAGGCAGTTGGGGGTTTTCAATTTCCAATTCCAAAAATCTCATTTTTTTATCTTTGAATCTTGATTTGTTTTGACTTTCGAGTGTTGCTTTCACGTTGGGCATTCATTAATCAACTGGGGTTTCACTTTCAGTTTCCAAATCTCAAAAACTCCATTAACACCTCTGCAAATCTCAAATCTTGAATTTTGCACCACCACCACCGCGGCCGCCATTGTTGGGTTGCTCCTCCGCAATGTCAACTAAATCTTTAAAACCCACAAAATCTCCGGTGGTGACACCATCTCCACCATCTTCAAGATCATCTTCACTCTCTGCTCATCTCGCCATGGTTGAAATCAAACAGAGAATCTTGACATCTCTTTCCAGACTTGCCGACAGAGATACCCACCAGATCGCCGTCGAAGATCTGGAAACCATCATCAAAACCCTCTCGCCGGACGGCATCTCAATGATCCTTAACTCCCTTTTCGACGCCATTAACGACACCACCACCAATAAACCCGCCGTCAAGAAAGAATCCATCCGACTTCTCGCCTTCCTCGCCGCCACCCACACCGATTCCGCCGCCACCCATCTGCCGAAAATCATCGGAAACATCCTCAAACGTCTTAAAGATTCCGATTCCGGCGTTAAAGACGCGTGTCGTGAAGCGATTGGACAGCTTTCTTTTCTGTATCTGAAGGGTGAAAATGGTGATAATAATATTGGGTCTGTGGTTTCTTTGTTTGTGAAGCCATTGTTTGACGCAATGAACGAACAACATAAAGGGGTTCAAGGTGGGGCAGCAATGTGTATGGCAAAAATGGTGGAAATGGCTTCTGATCATCCACCATTGTTGGCTTTTCAGAAGCTGAATGGAAGGATTTGCAAGTTTCTTAATAGCCCTAATTTCTTGGCAAATGCTGCTCTTTTGCCAGTGGTTTCAAGTCTTTCTCAGGTTTGATTTAATGATTTGGGGGCATTTGGTAATTGTTGTGTAGGTTGTTAACCAATTCATTGGTGTTAACTTTACAAACCATCGTTCACCAATCAGAAACAAGATATACTTTTGGTTGATTCACATGATGTTGGTATTTAGTGAGGGTAGGAATGTAGTTCTCTATTTGGTCTATCCATTAATGCATAATGTTAATTATCGGTTATAATTCTTAATTACTCCATGATTGTAGCCATTGTCATCATTAGGCGATAGATGAACATCCGCCTAATGATGACAATGACTACAATCATGGAATAATGAAGAAATGTAACCGACAATTAATCCTACAAAAATACCCCCGTTTATTTGTGTTCATGTGTGTTTAATACGCACCATGTTTATTCTTATTACAAAAATGTCATCGACCGGTTTACATGGTTTTTTTGTAAGGGTGTCCGGGCCAAAGCCCGACTAATCCCCGGCAAATTTGGAGGCTAAACATGGCCCCACTTAAATGTCGCCAACACTCCCCTCCTAGGGCTCGAACTCGGGTTCATGACTATGTCATGCCCAAGCCTTTACCACTAGGCTGGAAGGTCTTTGACTTACATGGTTAATACCAATGACTTGGTTAACAAAAGATCTAGTCCGTAGGTATATAGACAAAGGATCGTGTGAGAATAGAAGTTAAGGTGAGAAATGTAAGAAGGGATTTGGACCCTTTATCACTTTTGATCCCGAAACAACCTATGAATTGCGTTTAGAAGGGAATTGGTCTAGTGTATCTCATTAGTGTTGATCTAGTGGGTTTTCTTCAACTAGGATTGATCCAAGGGTGGAGATCCCCTTCTTACCCTTCTCATCATAACTTCCATTCTCCGTGGAAACCAACCCTTTGGCCTTAATATTATATTATATATAGAGAAGGGGGGGGGGGGGAGGTTCATTTAGGAATCTTAAATTTTTGAGAACCCAAGAACCACCTATTTTTATGTAGTATTCATGATGAATAACGTTGAATAATAATGAATACTATTCATCTTGAAGTTTTGTCATGACATTCATCATGAATATATTATCACGTTATTCATCACAAGTATTACACAAAATAGGTGGTTCATATGTTCTCAATCCTAAATCAACCTGGTCTTATATATATAGAGGGAGGGTTAAACGAAAATGCTAACTATTTAAGAGAATACGAAAACGGCCAAATCACGTGTAAAATCACATGTGACTTTACATTGATGGCCAAAAAATTGTGCGGGCGACCCTTTGGCCACGTCTTCACGAAGTGAGGCAAAGTCACATGAATCACATGTGATTTTGTACGTGATGTTAGTGTAAAATCGCATGTGATTCGGCTGTTATCTTTTTCTCTTAAGTAGGTACCGTTCTCATTTGAACCCAACTCTATCTATATATAGGTTAAGGGGAAAACCACAAAAAAAACGGAAAAGCTAAGGAACACCCTAATAATAACTATTCATTTGTCTGGTGGCATAGAAACCAAGAGACATTTTCAATTACTTCTATGCACATGTGTATACCGGACAAATGAATGGTTATTAAATATCAATTTGGGAACACATTTTAAAAATCATAAATCTTAAAGATCTGATTGTAATATTAAGGACTGCATAATTTATGTATATAATTCGTATTTGCTTTTTAAAAACATTTCATATACTTGTTGCAGGTTGGTGCCATTTCTGGACAAGTCTTGGAGCCATTGCTTCAAAGTATTCACGAATGTCTTAAAAGTTCCGACTGGACAACACGAAAGGCAGCTGCTGATACGTTGAACGTCTTGGCTTTGTATTCAAGTAACTTGATCACGGAAAAACCATCTTCAACAATAATGGTACTTGAGGCATGCCGTTTTGATAAGGTTAGTTTTTGAAAACGACCCGTGAATAAATTATTCATTATGTTTTTAAGTAATTAAGGGTCTGTTTGTTAGCAGCTGAATGAGCTTAATGGAACTCAAGTTTATTTGGTCATCTATACATGACTGTTTGGTAGTGGCTTAATGATGTAGAAAGTGGCTTATTTAATAAGCTTTAAAGAGGGAGCTTTATGCAGAAAGCCAAGTTTTTTTCCAGGACTGCCCCTCTCAGTTATAAAACACGCTCACTCTGTCTATGAAAAAACCCTTCCAAACAAAAACCTTTCCAATCCATACAGACAGATTAATCCACAGAGACATCTTTATACATGTAGAACTTAATGGAAAACCAACCCAATAGACCCCAAGTCTAAGAAGACAGAGATCCAATTGCTGTGTTTTTTAGCCAATTTAGGGTGCGTTTGGAACACAGACAGGACTGGACAGGCGAGAATGAGGTAGGCGGGGTGGGATGAAAGAATTGTGGAAAGTTTTAGCGTTTTAATTTGACATGGGTAGTTTGGTAATTTGCCAATCTTATCTAATTTGTTCCACTATCCTTTCTTAATGTCACACCAAACGTGGGAAAAGAAGTTTTTGTCCTGTTCTGTCCCATCCTTTCCTGCTTATCAAAATAAATGTCCAAAATAAAAAAGGCACATAGTTTTAAAAAATGTGTAATTATTACACTTCTAATTGACAATTTTACCCTTAATAAATAGAGGGAGTAATGAATTTCTCCATCTCATAAGTAAGGGTAGGATTGGAAAATATGCACTTACTTTTGAAAGTAGACACTTATCTTTGGACAAACTAAAATATAAATGTGGATAAAAAATAAATATATGATTATTACACTATTTAATTAACTAAATGACAACTATAACCTTAGTATCTTAGTAATAGAGGGAGTAATGAATTTCTCTATCTAAACATTAAGGGTAGAATTGGAAAGTGTAAAATAACACCTCGTGAACTTCTGCAGATAAAGCCGGTCAGAGACAGTATAACGGAGGCGCTGCAAGTATGGAAGCATATTTCAGAAGGTTGTGAAGATCAAAAACCACCCGATCATGGTCAAGATTCTAAATGGCGAAACGGCCTTCCGAAATCGGATGGTAAAAGAACAGAGCTGCGGCCACCGAAGGATGGTCAAACGGATGGTCAAAATGTATCCGAAAAGACAGTTGGAACAAAAAAGAAAGCACCTCCTTTAAGCGACAAAGAACTGAACCCCGAGTTTTTCCAGAGACTTGAAAGACGGGTTTCTGGTGAAGTTGAAGTTGTCGTTAATCGTAGATTCCTCAAGTCGTCTAATTCACAAAACGAAGAGGAACCCGACATCAATGATACCAATGTAGGGTCAATGTCAAAGTCAAAAATCAACTTACAAGATTGTAATCCAGAAAGCGGAGCCGGTGGTCCGTCTTCTAGACAACAAGAAGTTGATGATAAGAATGATCGAACTCATAGGGAGGGATTAATGAGTAGTAACGGAAATTGGTTGGGCATCCAAAGGCAATTACAACAATTGGAGAGACAACAAGCATATCTCATGAACATGTTGCAGGTATAAAAACCAACTTGCACCTAGGTTGATTTTCATTAAGTCCTGTATGGATAAAGCTGTCTGTGTGGATTAATCTGTCTGTATAGATTGAGAAAGTTTTTGTTTGGGAGGGTTTTTTCATAGATGGAATGAGCTTGTATTTTAATTGGAAGGGGCAAGTTTGGAAAAAACTTGGCGTTTTACATAAAGTTTCCCCAAGAAGCTTACCGAATAAGCCACTTTCTATGTCATTGCCAAATAGTCATGTATAGCTGACCCAATAAGCTGCAAAAGCCATTAAGCTGCTAACAAACAGGCTCTTAGTCCTCTTTTTCTATTTGTTGCTTGATTGCACACACTCGTTTCTTTCAGTCAATGACAATTTTACCCTTAATAATAAAGGGAGTAATGAGTTTCTCTATCTCATAATCAAGGGTAGAATTGAAAAGTAACGACATTTTTTTTTGGGACAAATTAAAATTAAAATGTGGACACCTTTGGGATGGAGGGAGTCCAAAGTTAGGGTATTTACGAAAATAGCCTCTCTAGTCTCTTCCCCTTGGGATAGAACCTACTTTTTGTGTGGGATTTACTGGGTTGGTTTGGTTAAAGTCTGGTTCAGCGGAATACCGTAAAGAAATAAAAAACTGAGGAACACCCTGGTAACCATTCATCTGTACGGTATGCACATGTGCATGCAAGTAATTTTGAAGTAATTTGTCTGGTATCCACATGTGCATAACATGCACACATGCATAGAATTCAGGAAATATCTTCAATTTATTTGTATGCATGCGTATATATCGTACAGATGAATGGTTATTTGGGTGTTCCTTAGTTTTTCGTATTTTTTGGGGGTTTTCCCTTGAACGTCACTCGGTTTGGTTATATTGAACCATTTATTGACATTGCAGGATTTTAGGGGCGGATCTCGTGATGGTATGGTGACTCTGGAGAACAGAGTGTGGGGTCTAGAACGAGTTGTGGAAGACATGGCCCGCAATTTTTCGATATCGTCGAGTAGTCGAAGAGATTATATGACAGGATTTGATGAATCTTGTGGGAGATCGTTGGGCAAGTACAATGGCTTCTCCGACTATCCTAATACGAAATTCGGGAGGAATGATGATGGGATCTCGTTTAGGGGTTCTTGGAGACCTGATAACGGCCGGAATACGCATATTGATTTACGGAAAGCCGTGGATGGTAGATCATCGCAATCAGAGAACGAAAGTGAGCACGTTAATAGGAGAGGTTGGGGGGATGTTAGATTTGGAGAGGGTCCGTCAGCAAGAAGCATTTGGCAAGCATCAAAAGATGAAGCCACGTTGGCGGCAATCAGGGTGGCCGGTGAAGGCAATGGGCCTGTCGGAAATGGCGGAGCGGCGGCAGAAGTGGCCGGAGATGAGAATCGTGTACGGAATCGGGAACCCGTTTGGAGAAATGCAATGGATGCGGTTCATTCCGGAGATATGGATATGGCGTTTGCTGAAGTTTTGTCTTCTGGGGACGATCTTTTGCTCGTGAAGCTAATGGACAGAACAGGACCGGTCGTTTATCAGCTCTCGAGTGATGTGGCGAGTGAAGTTTTGCATGCGATCGCTCAATTCCTTCTCGAACCGAACTTGATTGACATATGTTTATCTTGGATTCAACAGGTATGCAAAGCGAAGTTCTTTATTAAGCAACTCTTAGACTGTTTATTCAGCAACAATTAGTGAACAAAATTTTATCTTGAATCATACAGACAACTTAATTCGGGCTTAATGAAAAACCAACCGAACAAGCCCTAGAGCTAGAAAAGTGGATTTGGATAATCATTCTGTAAAAAATGGGCTGGCCCGAACTGACCCGTTAAGATTAGTGGGCTCACATGGGCGATCCATAACAAGTTTAGGACAAGCCCATTAATATATTTATTTGGCTTCCGATTCCCGATTTCCCGTATATTTGACTCGGGACATACTTTATCTTTTTTACGTAAAAATAAAATGACCTCAAATCTCAAAATTCCGTTATTTCCCTTATTGAACGGTTCCTCGATCTATGTATTTTGAATGATTTTAGATAGCTTATAAGTTTGCAAAGGTTACGTTCGATCTTTTAGCCAATTGGCCCGTGGGCAAGCGCAACCTGTTTATATGGCGGGTAAGGGCAAGTTATCAAACCAACAAAAAGGTCCTGGGTAATATTAGGCCCGTGGGCAAGCCTTGCCCGTTTATATGGCAGTAAGGGCAAGTTATTATGCCCGCGAAAGAAGCCTTGGGTATGCTGTATTAGGCCCGTGGGCAACCCCAAACCATTTATGTGGCGAGTAAGGGCAAGTTATCAAGCCCGCAAAAAAAAATCATGGGTATATTGTATTAGGCTTGTTGGTAAGCCGGGGTAAGGGCAAGTTATTAAGCCTGCAAAAAGATCTTGGGTATGCTATATTAGGTCAGTGGGCAATCCCGATCTGTTTATATATTACGGGGTAAGGACAAGTTACCAAGCCCGTAAAGAAAGTATTGGGTATGCTGTATCAGGCCCGTTCGATAAAATAGGTTGGTCGTGGTCCAAGCCCGCAAATGATCACCTCTATTGGTCTTCTTTATATTTGAAACTAACAAATTTTTATCCGATTCTTGATTCAACTTACTAAGGGCATTTTTGTCATTTCGTTATGTTTACAGTTGTTGAACGGGATCGTGGAAAACGGAAAAGATGATATGGGAATCCCTATGGAAGTGAAAAGGGAGATTTTGGTAAATCTTGATGAAGCTTCATCGACTACCGACCTTCCTGAAGATTGGGAAGGTTTGATGCCAGATCAACTATTATTGCAGCTGGCATCAGCCTGGAATATAGTTGATCTGCAGCAGTTACACAAATAGTAACTTTTTTTTTTTAAATTTGGTTTGATGGGTATTTTCTTAAGTTTATCGGTTTGTTTTACGAATGATTTTGCACATAAGTGTTCGGGTTGATTCTTACATATAGGTATATGGTATAAACTTGCCATCTTTGGCTTCAAGGTTGTATAGAAGATGTGTTGGTTCCGATCGGGATCTTTTAGGGGGTGTTCGGTTCGTAGAATATATTTGGAATGATTAGAGTGTTTCAAAGGGAATGGAATTGAATCACGTTTGATTACAGGTTTGTTCGACAGGAAATGAAATGAAATTTGTTAAAGTAATTGAAATATGTCTGTTATTGTTGTAATAAAGTAACTGCGAATGGACAAAAGATCATTTTTTGGCATTTTCGTACTTTCTTGCTTAAAATATGAATAATATAATATGGTAAACTTAATAATAATATTAAGAGTAAATTATGTTTTTCGTCCCTGTAGTTTGTTAAAAGTTGTAGATTTCATCCCTGTGGTTTCAAAATTTCGGTTTTCATCCTTATAGTTTTTTCGTCGCTAAATCCAAAACATTGTTTCTAATCATGAAAGACTAAAATAAAAATGTATTATAAACCATAGGAACTTAAAAACACGATAAATTTTAAATCACAAGGACGAAAAAGGTAACAAATTATAAACCAGAAGATAATTGTAATTTCGAAGCCATAAAGACGAAAATATAAATTTTTAATAAACCATAGGGACTAAAAATGTAATTTATTCTAACATTAATTGATGGCGATAGCGAACTGTGATGGCAGCTACGATCCTCAAAAGCCCGATTAGCTGAAATTTTATGGGCAATTGGGCATGCCCAGGCCAAAGCCGAAAAAGCCCAATTTTGCCCGGCTTGCAAAAGTCGGGACGTTTCTTTAACCCGAAAGCCTCGTTCACCCCTAAAAAAACCGAAGCCTTTTTTTGCTTACTGAAAATGGGCTTGAACGGCTCTAGCATAGAAAAGCACGAGCCTTGCCCATCTTATTCCATCATCTTCGAAAGAACGAGCCACAAGAATGGAATTGACCATTCCAATTCCGTCATACTCCAACTAACAAAATAAAGACACGACGGAAAAAAGAAGACGGAAAAATCGAAACAAAACCATTCCCAAGAAAACTGCTTTCACCATCTTTTTTACATACCAAAAACTATATACAATACATGGATCTTTAGCGAGACTACTCTACAACGGCTGAAAAGCCGACCAACAAAGCAAAACTTTGGTGTCTACTTGGCAGAATACCAATTCTTGGCAAATTTGGCGTCAACCGATAAACCGACTTTGAGAATATTCTTGCCATCAAACGGCTTCGACATGCACTCCACAACTATTGCTTTTGCAACATCGGCTGATTCCGATGGCCCTTCCAATATTACTTCATCATGAACCTGTGGTCAAAATGTCGTTTTTCCAAAGGTGAATTTAGTTTTAACTGGCTTATCAATTTCAGCCAAATAACTAGCGTAAACTAGCTTATCAGTTTCAGCCAAACAACCAGCTTAAGCCAAACAAGTAGCTTATCAGTTTCAGCCCAGCAACTAAGCTTAAACTAGCTTATCAGTCAACAACTAGCTTTTCAGCCAAACAACAAATTTAAACTAGCTGATAAGTTGACAGCTGGCTTTTCAGTCAAACTACTAGCTTAATGTATAGCTTATCAGCCACCATGTAGCTTTTCAGCCAACAGCTAAGGGTTGTTTGTTTATCTCTTGATAGTTCTATTAAGAGGCAACCTCTGAATCGTTAAGAGGTTTGGCAAAATAAAAGTCTGCTTCTTAATGTTTATAAAACCCTCTGAATGATTTTGTATCATGAATCTCCCTTAACCACTAAGAGCCCTAATTTCATTGTACACAATTACCAAACAATTATATTTCATTTTGCACTATATCATGAGTCTCTTAATCATTCTGCACCAAACCATTCAGCAATTGCCAAAAAGCCTCTTAGTGTTGAAAATTTAAAAGGATACCTGTAAAAGCAGCTTCCATCCAAGCTCTCTCAGTCGAGCATTCTTCGATATTTCTAACATGGCACACATAGCAACATCCGCCGCACTTCCCTGTTCACAGTACATACAATCAGAACGATTTTTCTTTCCGGGAGGCCGAAGAATCGCATCATGCGTTAAAATAGAATAAAAAACCTGAACGGGCGTATTGATAGCAGCTCGTTCAATATGACCTCTATGAGACGGACTAGCGTCTTTTGTGGACGGAAACGTACGTGCCCGTCCTAACAATGTATATACACATCCAATTTTTCGAGCTTCCCGTTTACGTGCTTCTTGCCACCTCAGCACTTCTTCTCTACCTCCATACCATCGAGCAACCGTTTCTCTTGCTTCCGTTACCGAAACCTGCAATAACCACCACCGTCTTTAAAAATGATCGCGAATTTTTTTTCGAATTTTTCGCCATTCGGGTTTTGATTAATGGAATCGGGATTACCTTCCAATCGCGTGAAAGCCCAACAGCGGTTTTCCCGTACGCAATGGAAAAATTGAGCATCTTTGCTTTTCTTCGTTCAGAAGCAAACATATCCTAAGGAAGAAGAAGGCAACGACAGCGTTATTTTTAGCCAAATGACTTGAATGCCCTTTAATAATGACAAAAATAAGATGATCTTGTGGACCATATTGCAAATATTGCAAATAGCCCCAAAATTGAAACCATTTGAATTTCCATTGGACGCAAACGCGGAGATATGTGTTAACGACTTGGAGTCAAAGTAGTGAACCGAGTGGAAAGAATACGATTTTCTTTACCTTTAGGAGCGGAACCGGGGGACTTTCTTCACCGGGTTGCGGATGCCACTCGAGAAGAACCTCCTTACTTTCAACTGCATCACGGATGTACGGATACATATTCATAGCGGTTCTTGAATGGAAATCTCCGCCAGCTTTGAAGGCATCCAGCATACTTTTACAGTCCGCAAGATGTGCAAGAATCCGGAGTTCCAACTATTCAGATATAAAATCGCACGAATTAATCTCCGTGGGACCGTTAAACTAAAAAAACCGTTATCCGTCATATTACCTGCCCATAATCAGCAACAATAAGAGAGTTTCCCGGTGCCGCTATAAATGCCTGACGGATCTTGTATCGGTCCTTCTCTAAAGCCGGTTGATTCTGAAATCAAAGATGCTAATGTTAACACCAACCCATTGACTAAAAAACGCAAAAAGACTACATGTTCACTTTTAATTCGAATGAGTAGTCGTTTCATGCTGATCTTTGAGGTAGAGGTCATGTCTGTGTACATCTTATCCCTCGTGGACCCCACCTCTATGGACCCAGAATTTTTTCCAAGTGGTGAACACCATTTGATTATAAAAAACGAAGCTATGAATATTCTTTTTACAAAATCATCATTGGCCTGTTGGTTAGTTTTCTTACTTTTTGTATATGAGGTTCTATGTTCGAGTCTTTTATCCCAGATTTTTTTCAGAAACATAATAAACTTGAAATTAAAAGCTAAAAAAATGATACAATTGGGATTCGAATCCACGCTTAGAAGGGAAGAAAAGACCATGCAAACCAACTCTACCAAGAGAAACTTGTGTTGTTACTGTAGTTTCAAGAAACATATGGCACCCTACAAAATAATACAGTGGCACATTTCACGACCTTAAGATATTTACATTACGACAAAGGAATGAAGCGGGGGCGCATGCCACCATATGCACTATATTGGGTCCGCCCTGAACCCTCCAGATGGGATATACTGGCCTCGTTTGGTTTGGTTTATTGTCGGAAAGACATGCGAAGTGGCGACGGAGAAAAATTAGCTCGGTAACATTCTATGGAATAACTTGAAGCAACTTAAGATCGAACACTATGTTATATTGTTGCATAATTGATAGTAATAAGACGATCACAAAATCGAGATTGTGTAACCTGCAAATTTGGTCTCCTGGCAGATAGACGCCCGGTTTCCGTGTTGATATTTAGTGAACAATGAATACGCCCGTTTCTGCCAGATATATGGCTGCCCTGTGGAAACGAAACCAGTACACACATCAATAATAGTTCTACTCAGGTGTGTTTGGTATCCAGACAGAACAGAAAAGAACAGTTGTTTAGCGTTTGGTAAAACAGAACTAGACAAGAGAGATAAAATGGCCAATTTAGCCCTAATTAATTGTTTATATCTTTTATATATTTTGATTAATTTATGTAATTAATTAAATTATAATAAAAAATATATATTTTTTAACAAAATATATCATTAGAAAGTTCCATCAAGACGAATAAAATGACACTAAAATAAAAAGTTTACATAGTTTCCTATTTTTTATACCTTTTCTATATTATTTTTTTAATTACTAATATTTAATAAATCACATAAACTAACCAAAATATAGAAACCGTATAAAAATAATATTTTGATAACAGTAAAGTGAGAGTTTAAAGAGCATAAAATACAATAAATAAAATTTAAAGAATGAATAAATTGTAAAAAGAGAGGAATATTTGATGTTTTAAAAGAGAATTAGGTTCTATTTTAAAGTTATATTGGTAAAATACAGGTTTGTTCCACTCTGTTCCACATAAAAGTCCTGCCAAATGTGGAACAGTGATCCCTGTTCTGTCTTGTCCAGTGTTACCAAGGCACCCGCCAATAGAATGTAACTCCCACACTGTGGCTATGAGACTCGGGTTGACTCAAACCCTCGTCCATTTGACCAAGTATACCACCCCGGACCCAACCATAAAGTTTAAAACTACTTAAAACGATCGTAACCTGTAAAGGAAGAATGAAGTTGGATATCAACGAGTCTATCGAGCAAACTTCACATAATGCAGCAATTGCATGGCACGCCTCGTGTCCTTCCGAGCCCCCTCCAAATGCGGCATAAGCCGTGCCATAAGCGGTTTCCGAGTTGTTAACGAAAGGTACGCTCTTCGTCTCCGATAACTCGATATCGGTAGGATCATCAGCATTTTCATCCACTTCCGCCGTCTCTTCATCTACAAAATCGTAATCCATAGATACCTTCCCGGCAAGGCTCTTCAACACATCTCCACAAACCGAAGGCCACCCTGATGCGGTGTAAGTTTCGGGTTGTAGACCAGAACAAATCGTTTTCAGTTTAATTTTACGAAATTTAGTGGCCGTTTTCTTGCCTTCTTCGATTATATTATCAACGTTAGGGACTTTAAACTCCTTCTCCATTGGAAGACATTGAGAAGGATCTTTGCTGCATAGAAATTTATTTCAAGTATAAGAACCAAACCAAACGAACCCGATATATCCCATCTGAGGTGGGGTCCGGGGAGGGTAAGATGTAGATCTGACCTCTACCCCAAAGAGTAAAGCAGATGTTTCCATGAAAACCCCCTGCTTGTGAAAAGTGGACCCTTTGTTTTGGGAGAAACTAATCATTACACTTCTTAATTAACTACATGACAATATTACCCTTTATAATAGAGAGAACAATGAATTTCTCCATCTGACAATTGAGGGTAGAATTGGAAAGTAGACACTTGTTTTCGAAAGTCGCCACTTATTTTGGGACAAACTAAAATAAAAATGTCGGCAATTATTTTGTGACAGAGGGAGTAGTTTGTCTTTTCTACCTGTTAAGAATGCCACCAAAAAACAGCTGCCGCAACTGCGTATCGCTCCCCACGTTCATAAATTTAGCATCTGCACACTGCTTCGAAGCCCAGTTTCGGAACCGATCAGCAGCAATCTGCTGTTCAGCTTTCGCAACTTCTTCAATCTCCATGAGATAATCTCGATCAACCAGCATCCCTTCGGTTTCCATTTTCACCAAAAGCTCACCAAATGGACGCCAATATTGTTCATAAAAGTCAAATAATGTTCCTTTCGTAACCCCGTTAAACTTCCACTCCCGATTCGATAGTTTACTTTTCAATCTTTCGTAGAGCTTGAGAGTGCTTATCGAATCTAAGGCCGAATAACAAACCCACGGTACCCGTTCTACCCTTTGAAGCACTTCAACGGGAGGAATCACGACAACTTTGCCTTCCGAACCATCTTTTTTCAGCTTTTTTCTGCCGAAAATGTTTTTCATTGATACTTTCCCGATCAACTCTTCGTTAGGACCTAAATCAGCTCCGGACATTATTCCTTTTGAATCACTAGTAAGTGCTTCCAACGAATACCCACCCGACATCCGTCTTGAAGAATCCCACAATCGAGCCATATGCATCGTGTCGGCATGAAAACCGGAAAGTTTAAGATCATAATTCTCTATAACATGGTTATCGAAGCTATAGTTGTGCCAAACCTACAGAAACACCTTTTCTACTGTCAGTTGATTTATAACACACAGCATTTTCCGTAATTTTGGTAAAATAAAATCCTAAGAAAAGTTAACACAAAGGTACTGTTGACCTTTTTAATCGAGGGATTTTCGAAAAAGGCCGAGAATATATCGAGCATACTCTTCCCGCCACCGTCAAGAACATCGACCCAAATACAAGACTTCCCGTTTCCAAAATCGGCTTCATGCCCCGAATAAATGCTGAAGCATATAACTTCTCCGTGATCAACGGGTGTTTCTTGCTTCACGTCAATCGCAGCCACCTGAGATTTACACAAGAACATAAAAAAACCGAACTAAACCAAACAAACCCAGTATATCCCACAGCAAATGCATTATATACCGCCCGGAGGCGGGGTCTGGGAGGGGTAAAATGTAAGTGGAAATTACCACTTTACCCCTGTGTCAAGAGACAGAGAGGCCGTCTGCGAGAAAACCCTGGCTTGCAAAAAAAGATTTGCTATCGCATAAGAACACTAAACAAAATCAATTGCAGTATATCCCACCCGGAGATACGGTTTGGGAGGGTAAAAGTGTAAAATGTAGGCAGACCTTACCCTGTCTCAAGAGATAGAAAGGTTTCCCAAAATACCCCCAGCTTGCGAAAAAGGTTTACTACTGCATAAGAACATACAAAACTAAACGAAAACAAACCCAGTATATCCCACCCGGAGGTAGGGTTTGGGAGGGTAAAAATGTAAAATGTAGCCAGACCTTACCCTGTCTCAAGAGATAGAGAGGTTGTTTCCCAAAATACTCCCGGCTTGCGAAAAAGATATGCTACAACATAAGAACAAATAAACCAAATCAAGTGCAGTATATCCCACCCGGAGGTAGGGTTTGGGAAGGGTAAGAATGTAAAATGTAGACAGGCCTTACCCTGTCTCAAGAGACAGGTTGTTTCCCAAAATACCCCCCGGCTTGCGCAAAAGATTTACTACTGCATAAGAACATACAAAACTAAACGAAACCAAACCCAGTATACCCCACCAGGGGGTAGAATTTGGGAGGGGTAAAAATGTAAAATATAGGCCAACCTTACCCTATCTCAAGAGAAAGAGTGGTTGTTTCCGAGAATACCCCTAGCTTGCGGAGAAGGTATACTTTGCATAAGAACATATTTTAAGCACATAAAGTATAATACATGCCTCGGTATCACATGCATGGACTAGATGGCGATACTGAGTCGTAAGTTTTCGGACTACTTCTTTGGCTAGGGAGATGTTATCGACTACGAGAACCTTCTCATAAATGCTCATAAGCCTCTTTCGTAAATGAGTAGAATTTTTAGAATCTAGCGGTACAATATAGGTTTCTTTCAAAGCATCCGCATTAGCAGCCGCCGAGCTTTTATCGGTTCTTCCTGCTGAGCGTTTTTCTGATTGCGAGTCCATTCGATGGACACCATTCACAGGTGTATTTTCCGAAACTTCTTGCTTCAACTCTAGACTTTTACTGTTGTGCATGACATCATGCCCATGTTTTTGGGTGTTACCATTATGAGCTGGTGACGAGATTTGCATCTTCCTTGAAACTCCTTGTTGCAAATTTCCATTAGGCGGTTGGCTCGGGAACTTCTCATATCCAGTCATGTCTCGTGCCTCGTGTTCACGGGGCTCAGTTATGACCGATCCTGCATACTGAACATTAGGCACGGCATGGCCCACTTTACGTACTTCTTCCTTCCTCTTTCTTAATGCTTGTGTTGCTTGATTCCATGTTTGTGGTCGGAAATCTTTTTCTCTAAACGGGTTCCTTGGATGAGCATCAAGAACAGGAGTGATGTATGTATTCCCGTCTTTATTGCCCCAAGGAACCATTTGAGCATAGGAATTACCTCTTCTTGATTCTACGTGAAGCCTAAAGTCGGCACATGATTGATTGTTCATTGAATTAACATATCTCCGGCTTTCATCAAAGGACATGGTACTGATATTTGACCACGAGTTATATCGGCTAAAAACCATCGAGATGTTACAAAACCGGTCTTTTTTACTAAGAGGATTTTGACTTTGCCACCTGAAATATAAGAAACCGAAAGGTGCATAAGGAAAAAAAGAGATGTGATGCTCCCAAGAAACAAAGATCCAAATTTTTGATCAAATAAAGAATACGGGAAAGATAAAAATCAAGAATCGCCATCATCGTCAATTCAAGATTCAAAATTTCAAATCAAGAATCATTATGATTCCAAATTTGCATCACGATTCCAATCCACCGTACCTTAATGAGCTACTACTACGATACCATTTGGGCCCTTTTGTTAACCGACCTTCTAACACGGCTTTATAAGTCCATGACCTTCTAACAAGTTTGAGAAGGTCACTTTTACACACAATAACGCTTAGAAACCTGTCAGAAGGTCATCGATTTAAAAAGCACTTGTTATCAAGAAGTCATTCAGCTAAATAACCCAACACCATATTCATCATGATTCCAATCCACTGCACCTTAAGGAGCTACTTCTACGATACCATTTGGGTCCTTTTGTTGAATAACCTTCTAACAGAGTCTTTTAAGTCCATGACCTTCTGAAAAGTCTGAGAATGCCACTGCTTAACAGAAGAATATCACTTATGGATTTAAACAGCACTTGTTGTCAAGAATTTAGCTACCATATGCAGCATGATTCCAATCCACTATACCTTAATGAGCTATGATACCATTTGGACCTTCTAACAAGTCTGAGAATGTCACTTCCATGCAAAGAATGGCTAGAAACTTGTCAGAAGGTCATGGATTCGAAAATCGCTTGTTGACACAAAGTTGTTTTAGCTAAATATCCCAATACCATTTCCAGGTTCCAACCCCTCAAAGCCCAATACAGTATACCAGTCAAAATAACCTTCAAATCAACTAAACTCAAGAGGCAAGAATCTTTTTGCTGCCCACAGAACACAATTGCAACAAAGAGAGCTGGGATTTCTATGGCACAATTTACAATCACAGCTACAAGTATCATCATAAACTACATCTAATGATAACAAGAAGCACACAAAGCAAAACATACCCATCTTAGAACGAAAAAACCCACAAGATTAAACCCCAAATAATCACATCAAAACTCAACAACAGATGAAAAAAAAAAAAAGGAAAGCGAACCTGTAAAGGGGTTTATTGGAATCAGAAGAACTCCAGACGGACCGACAAGAAGAAGGCGAATAAGAAGAAGAAGAAGATACCATAGAAGTAGTGGAACGAGGGCAAGAATGGCAAAACCATAAATAAGAAGGGGGTTTCTTGAAAGTGTTGGTTGGAGTAGTGAACGCCATTGTTGTTGTTGTTCTCGTTTCTTCGAATCGAAACCCTCTGAGACCCAGCTTCTTGCTGAGCCCGATAGCAGCCGTCTTGGTAAGCTTTGAGATGGTGGATATTAGGGTTCTTCTTCGAAGGGTTTTTTTAGTGCTTATTGTCTGCAATTGAAAACCCCATTTGGGTCAATCGCTTAAACCCTTGTTGCTATAATCATTGATGTTGTGAAGGATACCACAATTTTGGGAACAGTTTCACGGATGGATTGTTTGTCGTTTGCTCTGAATGGATAAAATTCAATTGAGCCCCTTAAGAATGTTGGTTGTTTCATTTAACCCCCTCCAAAGTTCTGTAGATATGTACTTCCATGTTAAATATAGATTAAATCACGAATTTGGTCCCTATGGTTTGGTTGTTTTTACGAAATTATCCCTGAACTTCATTTATTACAGATTAGGACTCGTCGTATATCGTTTTGTAATGAATTTGGTCCCTCCCTCTGACGGCCATCTAGTTCCTCCATTAACCTTGAGGGCGTTGTCGTCCTTTTCCTTTTTTATCTTTACTCGGGAGACCAATTTCACAAAAACCATACAAACTACAAGGATTAAATCCATAATTAAGTCTAAAAAATAAAAAATAAATTTTTTTATACTTCGAGTTTATTAAATTAATTAATTATTACACATTAAATTTATTTTATAATATATTTTTTTCAAAAAAAATATGTATTATATACGTATGTCACTCACATTTATATACACACACACACACACATATATATATATATATATATATAGGTGGAGGTTCAAACGAGAACCCCTATGATTTACGAGAATGCGAGAACAATCTAATAACCTCAAACTTTTTTAATTAATAAATTAACTTATATTAAATATAAATAAATTAATAAGGACAGTAATGTAATTAATTAATTTTATAATTTTTATTTTATTTTAATTAGTCATAGTTATCCATTTTTTTTCTTGCACGTTCTTTTCCACTCTCTCCTCTCCCCTTGTGATAATTGTGTGATTGTGTAACCATAACCTATCGAAACCATGATCAATCAAGTGTAATCATAACCTATCGAAACCATGAGTAATCGTTGTGATAAATGTGTGATTGTCTAACCCTAACCGATCGAAACCACGATCAAATTGAATGCGCAAGTGATGTTATAATAGTGATATCACACTCATATCACACCAAATTGTTTAGTGGATTTCGTTCGTAATCGTTGTGATAAATGTGTGATCGTCTAATCCTAACCAATCGAAACATGATCAAATCGAGTGCGCTGTTATGATAGTGATATCACATGATTATCACACACATATCACACCAAATCGGTAGTCGATTTTCTAAGTTAACCCTAGCCGAGCRGAATCCTTGTGATAATTGTGTGATAATCACATGATTATCACACCCAAATCATAACCAATCATGTTGATATAAGCGATAATGTGATAATCACATGATTATCACACCCATATCACACCAAATCATGTTGATATAAGCGATAATGTGATAATCACATGATTATCACACCCATATCACACACAAATCACAACAAATCGTGTTGATATAAGCGATAATGTGATAATTATGTGATAATCACACGATTATCACACTCATATCACATGATTAACCGTTTATTAGATAATGATAATCATGATCGTGTAATCGTATTAAAAGATTTTATGATATCATTTCCTTATTACCCTTTTAATTTTAATATTTTATGAATTTTTTTAAATTTCAATTTTAGTTTTAAAAATCTTTTAATTTTATTTTTTATCACAATATGTGGTTATTGAGTTGTTCTTGCTTTCTCGTAAATTACAGGGGTTCTCGTTTGAACCCTTCCCTATATATATATATATATATATATATATATATATATATATAGTTATATTTAATTAGTGAGGTTCAACCGTTCAAGGGAAACCACCTCCATTAACCATAGATTAATTGATTCAACGGGTGTGATTAAATAGACGTTTATAACACTATTTTTAATGAAGAAAAATCTCAACATCCTTATTTTTTATTCGAAAAAAATGAAATATAAACAAAAATCGAGCAAAATAAATTATACCATGCTGATTTATTTTTTCATCCGTTTTTTTTTCCCGTAATTTTCCGGTTTTTCATTTATTTAGCGTTTTCCTCTGAACTCAACGCAAAATAAATGAAAAAACACGAAAAAAAATGGATGGAAAGATATATCAATATGGATGTCAAATTAGTGAGGAATATGATTATTTTTTGGTGTAATTTATTTCGGTCAATTTTTGTTTATATTTGTCTTTTTTGAATAAAAAATAGGTGGGGTGAGATTTATTTAATCTAAAAAATATTGTTGTAAACGTTCATTTAATCATATCCGTTGAATCAATTAATCTAATAATTAATAGATATCATTTTCTGCTGAATCCCACTATATATATGGGGAGGGGAGGGGCGCACGTACACGTACGTAATATATATATTTTTGAAAGAAAATATATTGTATATTAAAATTAAACTTAAAGTATAATAAGTAATATATATTAAAATATAATAATTAATTAATTTAATAAACTTAGATAAAAAAATATTTTTTTACGTTTTAGACTTAGTTATGGATTTGGTTCATGTTGTTTGTGTGGATTTTAAGAAATTGATCCCTCAAAGTAAAGACAAAAACTGGAAAAAGACGAAAGTGCCCTCAAAGTTAATGGAGGAAATAGACGACCTAAGAGGGATGGACCAATTAGTATTTAGTTATGTCCTAACTTTCGTCGGATAATAATAGGTAGTTATGAGAGTTTCATCAACTCGCTCCAAAAGCTTCAATAACGACATGGGCATTATATGTGTTTCAGAATTACAGTTATTAAAATCTAAATGGATCTCCAAAACCAGACACTGAAAACGTGATTTCAAGAAACTACAGAAGTGTCCCCCCCCCCCCGGGGCCAATTTTTAGTGCTTTATAATGGCATGAATCGTGTCGATTCACACCCTTCTGGCCAAACCACATGTTCATCCAGATCTCCATTTAGTTTTGGTATATGCAGTGACCCTCATTCTGCCGTTCTCTTGATTTTGCACTGTTTCCCCTCCTTTTTTTTCCTTATATCTTTATTTTCTTCTATCAGCCCTTCAACATCGTTCACCATTTTAAGAAACCGTCTCAACATAATCATCCTATAAAACTCAAGCAAAACCTAGGTTTCCAACCCCAAACCCAACCGTGATTGAATGATGAACATGCACAAATTAAAAGGTCGTTCACCAAACGCTTACTAGGGTAAGAATTTTTTTGTAAGGGTGTCCGGGCCAAAGCCCGACTAATCCCCGGCAAATTTGGAGGCTAAACATGGCCCCACTTAAATGTCGCCAACACTCCCCTCCCAGGGCTTGAACTTGGGTTCATGACTATGCCATGCCCAAGCATTTACCACTAGGGTAAGAATTTATCGGCAAAATTTAATACTACCACTTACTTACCGGGTAAGATTTTAGTCCATCAAAAGATATCGTAATAATTTATCCGGTAAGCGCTAATCGTGGTAAGAGTCGTTGTCATCACTTACCGGGTGAGACTCTAGGTCCTTGTCTTCGCTCTTACACGACAAGATTATTGGTTCTTCCCATATTCATCAGTAAGATAATGTAACTCGATAAGCACACTAACCGAGTAAGTGTTTGATAAACGGACCATAAGTCAAAAATACACACAAGCTGATCAAGATCAGAAGCAAGACAAGGCTTCAAATCATCAATGCAAGTTTTTTATAAGATGATTGTTGAAGGAAAAATATTACTGATATGTCAAATGAGAACTCAGTAATTTGTGATAACCGTGAGATCCAATGTGAGTCACTCATTTAAGATAATTATGTTATTTATTAAATAAATAGAAAACGGTAATTTAATAATAAAATAACAACTCCCATAAATAGGAAATTCATAATTATCCACAGAGTGTCATCTTTGAATCTTTGATGCCGGTAACACAAAGCGAATTTGCGTTCTTTCCATTGTATCACATTTTGTGTCTTCGTTGTTTACAACGTATCACATATGTATCTTAGGGTATCACAACGTGTATACAGTGGGCATCACAGTGGACATTAGTGGGTATATAGAGAAAATGATCATAATTAATGTATCACAATGTGTATACAGTGGGATGAACATGGATGTTCCAGATTCTCCTTCTCTGTGTGAGCTTTGAACATGGATGTTCCAGATTCTCTGGAAATCTCAGTACAACAAAATTGATTTTATATGACGTCTAAAATGTAGGATTCTCCTAAAAAGATATTATATAGAACTTAAGTTTATGGGACTAAATAAAAAACGATGAAGGTGTCGAGATTGATGGGTGAAAAAATGGTTGGGTGTATATGACATTTTTTTTCGGTTTACCGAATAAGTCATCGTCTTACTGAATAAGACACAACCGAACACCTATGCATAGCTTATCGAATAAGCCACAACCAAATACCTGTATACGACTTACCGAATAAGCGATACAAACATTAAGCCCAATAAGCCATTACCAAACAACACTTTAGCTCCTTTCCCTGATGGATGTGAAATCTTACAGTTTGTAACTTTTTTCTTATATTTTTTATCCTTTATTCTATTTTTTTAAGTAATTTTATATCTGTAATATTTAGTATTTTTATTTTGTTTCCAAACATTTTACAATATAAAATAAATCAAAAATTAAAATAAATTGAATCTGTATACATACCATCGTGTATAGTCCAAAAACATACAAATCAAACGTTTTATTGTGGTTTGTAAACTAATTTCTCACGTGTTCAGTTGTTTTATTGATTCCTCTTGTTGTGATTTATACTGATTAATTACTTATAATTAGTTTTTTAACAATTAACCATTACGTATAATTGTTTGATAAATAGAAAAATAACAATGCATATACAGATACCAACTTAACTGATATTTTTGCCGACGTTGTATTGCAATTAAAATTTTCAGTTACAGTTCTAAAGTTTGAATACGCCCTCCTAAACTTGAATATTGGCTCAACCCCTCATTAGAGACATCACACGGGCAATACCTCGTGTCTGTAACACCCCAGATGTCGATCCTGCACCTCTGTGACCCTCCTCCTCCCTTCTCTGCCGACAATATCTACCCTCGATTGATGGTCGTTGATTCCACAATTTCTAATTCACCGATTTGACGAGATAGGGGTGGACACTCTTTTTGTAAAGAAATAGGATGAAGAAACAATCGTCATCAACGCCTCCAGGCTGGTTGAGAGGTCAAGGTTGCATTGGAGGTGATAAAGGATGGAGGGTGGAGATGAAGGCCAACAGTGATGGAAGCCATTGATGAAGGACACTTGAGATTGGAGCCAAAACGACGACGACGATGATGATTAAGACCCTCCTTCAGTCTAATAGTTAATGTGTTTGTTGCATAGTATTGCTCTAACAATTATCATGAGCTTGATATCTTGTACCATCTCAATAAATATGTATAACATAGTACCACTTATGTAGTTTGCGGTCCCCTTTGTGTCCTTTATGAATATTTCTTGTTTATGTGAACGAAACATTAAGGGGTTTCGATTCGTTTACTGAACACTTATTATATCTTATAGAGTAACTACACATTTATGATATTCTACCACGTAAGAGAAGTACATATACCTTGTCAGATACAACCGTCTTTACCAACAATCTTGTTGTGACCAAAGGGCTTTTAGCCTAGCGGTATGTGAGTTCTTGGCCTCCTAGAAGGTCAATGGTTCAAATTTCATCAAATGTGAGGAGGGTGTGCGGATTTATTTGTGTTATTTGTAGTATATAAATATTATATACTTCAAAAAAAAAAAAAAAATCTTGTTGTGCTATTTTATTAACCGAGAACTTTACCTATGAATATGGTGACTTTTATTCGGTTAACGCTTATCAGATAATTAATAGACGCTTATACTGAAAAATAAAATTGATGGTTTAGACGAGTGTTGTATTGATTGTATAAAAAAGATACGTTGTACTTGAAACATGCTCTCTCTCTCTCTCTCTCTCTCTATATATATATATATATGTATATATATATATATACACACAGAGAGAGAGAGAGAGAGAGACCGATCGAGGTTCACGAGAAAACTCCAAATAAAAGAAAAACTAGAAAACAACTAATCAACTCTTAGATTAGATGATCTAATAAATATAATTAAATGGATAGTTACAACAATATTTTTTAAATTAAAAAACGTCATCCCCCTCTATTTTATTTGAAAAAAAGATGAAAAATTAACTAAAAATTCGAGCGAAATAAATTACACCAAGAAAACGGTCATATTTTTCTTGTCAATTTACATCCATACATATTGATATACTTTTTTGTGGTTTTCCAAATTTTCATTTATTTACCATTTTCTTCTGAACCTGACCGTATATATATGAACTTTAATTAAATGGGAACTCGATAGTTTGTGATAATTGTTAGATTCAACCGCAACCAATCAATTTATCGATACTAATTTTTTTATTGTATTAGTGAATGGTGTAATAATAATTTTAGTAAATTAAATTTACATTTAATTTTTTCATAGTAATTATTCATTATTATACGATTCCTTAAATTTCTCAATTGCAGATAATATTAGTCCATACATGTAGGGGGTGGCCATCGGGTCGGGTCGAGCCCCAAACTAGCTAAACCGATCGGGTTTCAGGGGAGGATATTGGAACCCACACCCCCTTTTTAGACTTAACCCACGGGTTCCGGATCGTGTCAGGTTTGGGGCCCAAATTATTTTTTCGTCACTTTCCTGCTTTGCTTTCTGTGATGTTTATTTCCAGCTTCCTGTCATGTGCCACTTTCCTGCTTTGCTTCCTGTGATGTCTATTTCCAGCTTTTCGTCATGTGATCATATATATTTCCATTTTATAAAACATAAATCCCATTATCCCAATATGTAAGGTCCTGGATCAAGGTCGAAGACTAAGAGACTCGGAATCGTGTGTGGTGATGACTGGTGCGTGACCGACCGCCTGACTGGTGAGGTTCTCGTGAGGAGCTGCAGGAATGAGGATGGAGCGGTTGACATAAGCCCTAGATTGAGGAGTCATCGTATAAGGTATTTAGAATTTTAGATTTTAGGTTAAAAACTTAAGTAATTTGTGAAATATAAAATAGGAAAAATATCATATCAAGTCGGGGACCGAAATGGTATACCCACCCGATTCTATTTTACCCGCTAAATATTCGGGTTTCAGGTATTGGACTAGATCAGATAGACGGATCGTTTTTCCTTAAAATTCGGGTCAGTTTTGGTCGGGTTTTCAAGTTGGGTGGGTTTTGCTCACCCTTACGTACAAGTATGGCCCATCAATTATTTTTGGAAATATTCAGAGGTCATATCGGCAAAGCCTCGACCACCATCAAAAATTAATTTTAGAAACCTTGAAGATTATACGAAAATCAATAAAATTAGTCATTTTTATCAGTTGATTTCACCTCTTAGGTGCTGTTTGTTTTTCAAAAAAAAGCACTTAATTGCCTCTTATGTCTGAATCGGTCAGACATTGAGGGATTAAGTGCGTTTGTTTTGTTTTTATAAATTAAGTGCTTAAAACATCTGATTTCATCTGAATTATTTAGAGGTAAAATGCAGTCTGAAAACCTCTTAATCGCGTCGCCTCAAGCTCTCGCCTACCCTCCGCCATGTTCCTCTCCCTCTCCTCCCCGCTCCCCTCCTCCACCACCTCCATTTCTCTCCCTAAACCCCACCTCCACCCGCCACCACTCCGGCACCACCTCCCACCCTTTATCCATTCCGGTGTCGATATCGTCGATCGATCACCGTCTCCGGTTCCTAAAGCATCGGATGCACTGCCTCCTCCTTCATCTACCTCCTAGGGTTTTTCGGCATCGATTTCGTTCAATCCTTCGGAATCGAAGCTTGGGGACTGCCTTAGGGCTGCTTCGATTCGACGGCAGGCGTTGGAGAGGACGACGGGGAGGTCGTTGTTAGGGTTGCCATTGGAAGGATTCGATTACGAGTCAATTTTAGGGCAGTGTTGCGAGATGCCTAATGTTTTTCTATCTCCATCTTCAGAAATCCAAACCATTTATGGGTATTTAAACCAACCAAGCGTAAACAGGGGCTTTCAGTTCCTTAGCAGCTAGGGTTCTTCAATCTTCCCTTTTCCTTCATTGGAAATGGAAAAACATTAGGCATTGGAAACGATCATAATCAAGTTCATGATGTTAACAGTGATTCCACTTCTGATTTCCATTGTGAGCTTGGATCGTTTGAACACCAATTTCGTTTAAATGATTGGATATTTCAGTTAAATTTAATTGAAATGAATTGATTCAGATTTCAGACGTAAAAACAAACAGTCTGACTGATTCAGATTTCAGACTTCAGCACCACCTCTTAAAATTCAGAAGTGAATTCAGACTTCAGACTTCAGCACCTCTTAAAAAACAAACGCCACCTTAGTCATTTTTAACAAGGTTTGTCAGAATTAGATGAAAAATGTAATTTTTTTGCAGACCCGGTTGAGAAATGTAAATTTTTTTACGGACCTTGGAAAAAATGTATTTTTTTTGCCTGTAGGGATAAAAAGTAAATTTTTTTGTCTTTTAGTTGGGTCCGTAATTGCGGACGTGGGTTTTGCGGACCTATAGCTATTTTTAGTAAACTTGGAGAAAAAATAGGTAGAAGGTGAAACCAACCCTGGAAAATGGTTATTTTTAATAAATTTCCAAGATTATATTACGTTAATTTGTTGTTATTTTTCATCGATGATTTATCAAAAATAACTATTCAAATTGATTATTGATTGTATTACAGTGTGTATCACAATATATGTTTTCGTTTAGGGTATCATATTGTGCATCTTGTATGTATCCTGTGTATATTTTCTTTTAACATTGTAAGTATCAGAGTGTGCATCTTGTATGTATTTTGGGTATCACAGTATGTACAATTTGTATGTATTTTTCTTTAATGATATCTTTTTAGGTATCACAATGTGCATCTTTATGATGTTTGTGGGGATAAGTTTCGCCGGTGTAAGGTTCGTCGGAAGGACGAGAAATAAAAGATTTAGAAAAAGACTACTTTATCACTGAATATTATCTATGGTTTTTTTTTTTAATTTAATGGATAATCACCAAAATTAACATTATTAATTTTAACCATTAATTAGCAATAATAAGAGGTTGAGACTGAATTTTACATTCATCATAAATTTATTGAATTTTTCCTTGAATTACCCCTATATAATTGAGATCATGTGAGATCATACTGTTTTCGTGACCTGTGAGATCCGTGAGACCACATAAATAACTCGTATCTAGCGCGATTTATGAGTGAGTTTGCGATTAAAGGTAATCAAGTGTTCAGATTTCTTCTTACGTTTCTCCTATATAATTGGGATCATGTGAGATCATACTGTTTTTGTGACCTCTGAGATCCGTGAGACCACATAAATAACTCGTATCTAGCACGATTCATGAGTGAGTTTGCGATTAAAGGTGATCAAGTGTTCAGATCCCTTCTTACGTTTCTCACTTTAACTCTCATTCTTACACGATTAACATTTATTTGTTTTACATTATATATTTTTTTCATATGTACTTGCTTCACAATCTGAACCTTTTTAACTTGTTTGTGAAACAAAAATTATACGTAAAAAGAATTCATATAATAAACTACATACATATAAAACAAATATATTATGAAACAAATATTTATTTATATTAAATAATGCATCAAACTAAAAGTTTTATAAAGTTATCATGATACATATA